TATGAAATCTCAGTTTTGATTTATTTACGTCTGAAAATATGTGATTTCGTTGAACATTGTCGTTGCGATTTCGTTTTTTTGGCTGTAGCTGTTCATCATAATTCGTAAATGAGTTGGAAATTATGCAAAGCTTCTTTGTGATACACTAGTATACACTGGAGCGAAAATTCTATAACGAATCAGTTCGATAACAAGACAAGTTAAATTGTAAGTTAAATCGTCAGATCGTGAAATGTTCGTATATACATGTATATAGTAAAGCAGTAGATATCTTACAAAATCAAGCCTGTAAGCACTGATGATAAGTGATAGTCATATCACGTGTTCGAATTGTCACTTACGATGACATATTTCATTGTTTTCGCACTAACTATAAGTGGCTTTGCCCTTATAGTAAGTGGCTTTGCCCTTATAGTAAGTGGCTTTGCCCTTATAGTAAGTGCAAATGACGATGACGTCGTGATTGTAGGTTACCATAAGTGGGAATGCGTATTCACACTCATGATAAGTGCAAACGATCAAAGCCACTTATCGTGAAATACAAGTCGGATTTATAAAATCAGGTCGGAAAGATTTCTGCAGGTGTTCTGTAAGATCTTAATAAGAATTCTACCTGGGATCTGAAATAATGTGAATTTAAATGAATTTGTTACTACATGTAAATCACACATGCGTATTAAATCAGACAATTGTTTCATTTTCCAGAGAATCGCAATCGCAAAGTGTAAGATTTTCTAAAAGAACGTTGACAACACACCAAAAAATACCGTTAAGCTCCATGAGAAGGGCAGTGCCATTATCATATGCAATGAGTTGTAGGCCTTGAAATCTGATTATGAAAAACTGGTATGTTTGTTCAAGTACTGGTTGTTTTTTACTAGTCTCCTTCACATCCGTTGACAACGGATGCGAAGGACTAGTTGTTTACTTCATTGGACATTTATCACTGTAATACGCTTAGCTACAGTGGCGGATCCAGGATTTTGGGAAGGAGGGTGACTATTTTATGACAAGTATTTCATTTGAAAAAGTTAAGTTTAATATTCAATTTTTCTATCTATTAATCAATGCAG